CGCAAGGGGTCTTGCGGAGCTTTTTAGAGCCTTACGGGGCCTTATGGGGCCCATCGTCCTAGCGACGAGAAATTGTTTCACCTTAACGACGGAATTACCGGTTACATTGATTTCTTTATCGCGTCTCTTTGTCAATTTCCCATCACAGACTGTCTATTTACGGCGGGGGTCGAAGGAGATCCAAGATGGCCGCCGGACGCCGAGCGAGATGGCGAGACCGCGCAAAGTGCCACTCGCTCCTTCTGTGGGAGCGTGACGACTCTTAACGGAATCACCAATTGCAGAGTTATTGGTTAAATTGCTAATTGCTAGTCTCGAAGACGAGAGCAATGGCGCCGACACCCACCCGATAATCGCGTCGGCCATTACGGTCCCGGGTCTTCTCACGCTCTCGTCGCCGTCCTTTTCTCGGCTTAACGAGATCGATCGACTTTGTCGAGCCAGAAGGCTTCGGGAAAGGATGCGTTTTATAAAAAGCGAGAGAATTGATCCTACGAGAAAGTAAAAAAAAAAATGAAAAAAAAAAAAGGTGGCGGACGCAGGATTCGATCCCGCGCCCTTTGGGTTTTGCGGACTCCATGCAAATCGCGTTCCTCTTTTCGGATGTTTTTCACATTTCTCTTGTTAAATCGTTAATGAAAATTGCCGGCGGTTTTTTCCTTCTGATTTTTACGAGGGCGATGGGTCTTTTACGCTCCCGGGACTGAGACGTCTCGGCGGCCATTTTTGTTCGTTTCCCCTGGATCCGTTCTTTGGTCCCTCCGTTCCAGGAAGGAGCCACTCGTTTTCATTTCCTCTTACGCTATTAGCGGCCTCACCGCAGGTTTACGGACGCTCTCTGTGCGTGCGAACCTGCCCTGCACTTTTTGGCGGTGCGGAGGAACCGACCAGGAATTGCCGGGAATTGCCACGCCGGATGTTCGACTGCGAGCCGCCAACGACCAGCCTTCCGTAATCGCCGCCATTCGCGGGTAAACAAATGCGGAACGCTGAGGAGGCACGCACAGCGTCTTTAAAAAAGCCGATAAACCGAACAAAACTGCCGCCGTTAAGTTACCCGTGGAAATTGGAGCGAAACCTTCTCTCGCTGGGATTTTCGAGGACCCGCCGTTTCCGAGATATTCGACCCCTAAGTCGACCAACGGCGTCGCGGCTCCAGGGGAAAGTTGCGCGCTCCAGGGGAAAGTCGCGCTTCACTCGGTACCTTAAACCTCGTTTCCGACATCTCGAGATAAAAATCAAGCACTATTGTCGAAAAAAAAAATTACAGAAACACACGTATGACGAGTATTTCCTTCAGTACCGCGGAAATTCCTGGAAAGCCTTGGAAATTCCTGGAAAGCCTTGGAAATTCCTGGAAAAATTCCCTTGGAGGGGAAAGTTGCGCTTCGCTCGGCAGCTTAAACCTCGTTTTCGACATCTCGAGGGAAAAATCAAGCACTATTGTCAAAAAAAAATTAAAGAAACACGTATGACAAGTATTTCCTTCAGTACCGCGGAAATTCCTGGAAAGCTTTGGAAATTCCTGGAAAAATTCCCTTGGAGGGGAAAGTTGCGCTTCGCTCGGTAGCTTAAACCTCGTTTCCGACATCTCGACGGAAAAATCAAGCCCCATTGTCGAAAAAAAAATTAAAGAAACACACGTATGACGAGTATTTCCTTCAGTACCGCGGAAATTCCTGGAAAGCTTTGGAAATTCCTGGAAAAATTCCCTTGGAGGGAAAAGTTGCGCTTCGCTCGGTAGCTTAAACCTCGTTTCCGACATCTCGACGGAAAAATCAAGCCCCATTATCGAAAAAAAAAATTAAAGAAACACACGTATGACGAGTATTTCCTTCAGTACCGCGGAAATTCTTGGAAAGCTTTGGAAATTCCTGGAAAAATTCCCTTGGAGGGGAAAGTTGCGCTTCGCTCGGTAGCTTAAACCTCGTTTCCGACATCTCGACGGAAAAATCAAGCCCCATTGTCGAAAAAAAAAATTAAAGAAACACACGTATGACGAGTATTTCCTTCAGTACCGCGGAAATTCTTGGAGAGCCTTGGAAATTCCTGGAAAAATTCCCTTGGAGTCGGGCGGTCTGACTATGGTCGCCGATCGAAATCCAAGGATTCTCCGGAACGCTTCGATCTATCGAATGCAGGTTTACGCGGCGAGATTTGGACGGCTATTGAAAGTCCGAACGGCGTTCCGGGCATTCATGGGTGGCCATATTTGAATGACAAAGTCGGAAAAGTATTCACGGTGGGCAACTTCGACGCTTAAGGCTCGTCGTTTGCGCGACGAGCGGGTCGATCGACTTCCCTATCCGATTTCCACGATTTCCAGGATTTTTCCTCCCGGGCGTTTGTTTTCTATTTTTCTTTCCTTCACTTCCAGGGTACTTTCGGCTCGACAAAATGGCGCCCAGTTTCCACGTCCTCGGGATCCGTATGATCGCAATTACGATCCCAGCCCTGTCGTGCGGCGGACAATTATTTCCCGCTGCGGAGCAAGATCATTAACTTAATAAAGGGTATTTCCATTGCAATCACCGGTTACATATAAATTTAAAAAATGCCGGGTCTAGGGATTTACATGTTCGCCTACGTGTCCCGCGATATATCGCTCGGTCTTTCCTTAAAGTGGTCTGAAATTGCTGCGAGGCATTTCCACGAAATTGACGAGCCCCGAGGTGGAAAAGCGAAGTGCAAAAATTAAAGCTCGCAACTATCGATAGGTTGGATAATTGACATCCACCGAGGAGGTGAAAGAAGCGAAGTGCAAAAGTGAGCCTCCGGAATTTCTAGGAGTTTGCGCCCGTTTAAAAAATCGACAACCCCTGAGGGGGTGGAAAAGTGAAGTGCAAAAATGAAGTTTCGACATTTCTCGAGGTTCGGGTCTACCTCGGAAATTGACAGCCACTGGGAGTCGTCGAAACGACGGCCGATACAGTTCCTTCCCGCAAGAAGCCCTTGCTCGTTACGCCTGGAGTAGTGGGGGTAAAAAGCGAGAAGGTGAGCAGCAAAGTGGGCAGGGTGGGGGAAACTCGAACGGATGGCGCTAGGCGATCGGACGTGTGTCAAATTACAGAGGTCCGCTGTATTAATGACTCCTAATGACACGCCGCCCTCCGAGCGGGCCCTAAGTCGGCCGCGGGGCCTTAGGGCCCAGCACCGGTAGTGGGCCCCGGTTTCACGGAAACCGCATTAAAATCAAATTACTAATTGACCAAGGCTAATAGCAATAAGACAAACAACTGGCTTAAATGCTATAAAGTAAACCACAGGTTGGTAACGCCACTCGAGTTCCCTAGGTGGATGCCGAGTGGGGCCCGGGGCCTTACGAGCCTCGGATTTCGATACTCCCAATAGTTATCACTATTCCTTGAATATTTTCCAGATATGAATCATATATGAATATGAATGAATATTGACTGTCTAAATTCCTGATAAGGCCCAAAAGCTAGCTCCAGTACCGGGCCCTCTTTCCGTCCTCCCTTCTCGGTTCTCAAGTTCTCATCCCGTATTAATTCGGATTAAATTCCCTGGATACTGTCAAAGGCCCAAAATCGGGGCCCGAGACCTCGGGATAGGGGGCCAGTCGGTCCCCAGTGGTCCCAAAAATCTGGCATCCATTCTCACGGGCAGTTTTCGGAGTCCCAGTATTTCTCCTCTCCTTCTTATTGGGCCTGGCCAGCGGTTTTAAGGGAGAGCGGATCGGGCCCCTCTAGAAGAGGCCCCGAGACGAGGCCGCCCCTTGGTCTTGCAAATTGTAGCGAATTATCGGCGAGAGCATTGCCCACGGTGGTACTCTCCCGGGGTGACTTGGCGCATTTACGATCCGTCGAAAAATTCCTGGGCCCCATTTCGTTTCCCGGGCCCCGAGGTGGCCGCGAGACAAGGCCCAGCAGGAACAAATGACAAACCTCCGCGGAGCCGGGGCGTGGAGCGACTGCCACGAGTGTAATTGGCTTTATGACATCCTTTACGTGGAAAGGGAATTAAGGCCGGCGATAAAGCCGCACGAAACGTGCGCCGAGGAAACCGAGGAGAGGAGACCGGCCGCGTCCTTGGAAACCGCAGACCCACGGTTTTATTAGGGGAGGGCCGCAAAGGGATTTCAGGACGGACCCCGACTACGAGGGTTTCTCTCGATTTTTGTGTCATTGGGCCCACCCCCCACCCCTGGGAGATCTCTCGGATCCTCCCGATCCCAGGCCGGACCGATGACTCTATCAGCTGATCTCCATTCTTAGCTCTCTCGGTGCTAAGCCTTTTCTACATATGGGCGAATTTCATAGGGGCGTGCAAGCAATATTGGACCAAACGTCGGACACACTTATGCGCACATAGCGCTGAAAGGGTTAAAGGAGTGACTTAGTGTTTCGATACTCGTCAGAATTTTCTTGGCACAATTTTTTGTCACATTTTATAGTCAAAACAGCTTGTCGAAATTTCCGGTCACCGTTCTTAGCTCTCTCGGCGCTAAGCCCTTTGGGCGTATGGGCGAATTTCATAGGGCCGGGCAAGCAATATTGGACCAAACGTCGGACTCACTTATGCGCACATAGCGCTGAAAGGGTTAAGGGAGTGACTTAGTGTTTTGATACTCGTTAGAATTTTCTTGGCACAATTTTTTGCCACATTTTATAGTCAAAACAGCTTGTCGAAATTTCCGGTCACCATTCTTAGCTCTCTCGGCGCTAAGCCCTTTGGGCGTATGGGCGAATTTCATGGGACCGTGCAAGCAATATTGGACCAAACGTCGGACGCACTTATGCGCACATAGCGCTGAAAGGGTTAAGGGAGTGACTTAATGTTTTGATACTCGTCAGAATTTTCTTGGCACAATTTTCTGCCACATTTTCTAGTCAAAACAGCTTGTCGAAATTTCCGGTCACAACCTCCTATCCGAATTTCTTGTCAAAGCCTCTTATCAAACCTCGGCAAAAAATGTTCCCAAGGACATTTCCGTTAAAAGGAAAAAAAAAAGTCTTGCTAATTGAATTCTAAGTGCTCACCTTGCATGGACTCTGGGGATGCTGGCTCCTTGTCGACCCGACCCAGGGCGTCGCTCGCTGTAACAGAAATTTCGACAAATGTAAAATTCATAATTCATAAAGTTCAGACACTATTAAGATTGAAAGGTATATAAAATGTATAAAATGTATTAAAGGTGCGTAGTTGAATTTTTATCCGCCCATCCGTACCGGGGCGACCGCGTCTCCAGGTGATCGCGGCGAAGGTGATAAAACGGCCTTAACGGTCCCAGTGCCGAGCAAACGGCCGTGGAAACAAAGCAGGGGGTCGTTCCGGTACCACGGGGGGCGGAGGCGGGGGGGCCTGTATATCATAATCGGTCAATGTTTGTTCGTTCCGCCGCAAAAACCAATCCTTTCCGCGATTGGTCCGGTGGCAGCTTACCGAGGCGTTAAGTTAACCGGAGGAAAGTTAACCAGACGAGAAAAACGAGTCCAACTCCCTTTTACTCGTTCAGCATGAAAAGAGTCAAAATCGAGGAAATCTGCCCCTGAAAAAAGCGAGAACCTTTTTCTCAATCTCCGCCCGCGAAGAAAGAATCCTTAAGGCAGGAGCAAGGCCTAAAACGTGTCTCCAAAATTCCTCCCTTCCCAAATCTAAAATCTGAATCTCACTAAAAAGGTACGAAAAGTACCTTTTCCAACAAGAATGAGAATCTTTAAGGTGGTCATAAACCTCGGAAATAATTTTTCTTTAAGGGCGAAACGCTGTTTATATTCCCCCCTTCGCCCAGATTCGCCTCTTATATTCGCCCAGAAAGGGCGAACCTTAAGGGGGTTTTCAACCCTCGAAGCCACGTCGGAATTTTTTAGAGACCTGACCGCGGTCAATCTCATCGATATTGACCTAGGCCATGGACTAACACGATGTCAACGCACGGTAATAATAAATTATTGATAATGAATCTCATTTAATATGGTGTAAAATGGATGTAGAATGTAAGGGGAAGTAATTCCCTTTCGGGTGGATTTTTTTTTCACCGGATATTCAAATTATCTATTTGGAGCAGAGAGGGGCTTAGAAGGTGGATGGTGGTAATTCGGACAGAAGATGACCACCATACGTCACGGGGCATTCGGGGGTGTCGGCGGGGGCAGCTGACCCACCCCGAAGGCGGCCACCTACTACCCCCTGGGGGGTCACTACTCACCCCGAAACGACTGAATTCAGATAATCCCACCCTCCCCCTCGCCGCCGCCCTGGGGGAGGACGTTTCAATACGGGTTCTTATGGGACACCCTGCAAATACCGGCGACGCTGCAGACGGCGTCCTGGGGTTACGTGTCGTGGGTGGTCTGCAATTTTTACATATTTTTTGGAATAATTGCGACGAATGAATCTCTGAAGGGTTGGACTTATCAGGAAATAATTAAAATGCCGATCAGCTGATCGATCGAAATTTTGGGTACAGGACATCGAGATGCCAAATGGCAAATAATGGTAACTAGAGAGAGAAAAAAATCGTGTATTTCATTAAATAACAAAATGTGTAAAGGATGAAATTCACGGCAGGATTTGAATATTAAGAAATTAATGTTAATGGTTGGATTTATCAGGAAATAATTAAAATGCCGATCAGCTGATCGATCGAAATTTTGGGTAAAGGACATCGAGATATCAAATGGCAAATAATGGTACCCAGGGAGAGAGAAAAAAATCGTGTATTTCATTAAATAACAAAATGTGTAAAGGATGAAATTCACGGCAGGACTTGAATATCAACAAATTAATGTTAATGTATTTTTTATTTTAACTGGGATATACTTGACAGAATATTGAGTAATAAAATTTCGGGTTTTATTTAATGGTTGAATTTCATGTTCAGGGTGTCTTAATAGATCATTTTGATTTGGGGTCATTTTATTTTATTTGGAGCGAACTGTCAGGCAGTCGCTTTATTTTCAGAGCTGGATGTCCTCCCGTGAATAATCTAAAAAATTTATACCGATAAACGGAACTCCGGTGGGGTAGGTCGAGAAATGCAGGCGATTTAATGGATCGGTGGAAAGTGCATAAGGGCTGCAATTGGCCCTCGCGACGGATGTTTAAATGCGGGATTATTATCCAGAGGGTGTTTCGCCGTTCCCGGGTAATTGAATTTCATTAGTGGCTCCGTCGGGCGTCCGATCGAATTAAGATAAAAAATGTTCCCTAAACGGGGGAATTATTACTAATAGTCCCCGTTACCGCCGATAATTGACGATACGATGGCCCGGAGAAAGAAATGACGAAAAGTCGACGGAAACGAATAAAGGACGCAAAGTCGATTCACGGATCGGAGCTCGTCTGATGAGGATTTAATTGAAATTGCTCCTCCCACACGGATGCCAAAATTGCCCCCTCTGACACAATTGTCACGGAAATCTCTATTTTGACATGCTTCAAGACGACTCTTTTTTTTTTTCTCTTTTCTTTACATTCCTTACATAATGCATATTAATTTTCGACGGGATTCATAATTCTGGTAGAATTGCAAAATTTTCTCGAAAGTGGAATAAAGTGAAATTAAAAATGTCGAATTAAAAGTGTCGAATTAAAAGTGTCGAATTAAAAATGTCGAATTAAAAATGTCGAATTAAAAATGTCAAATTAAAAATGTCGAATTAAAAATGTCGAATTAAAAATGTCAAATTGAAAATGCCGATTTGGTATTAAAAAATGTCCAATTAGAGAGAAAGGCCCGGTTAAAGATTTGAAAATTCAGAATTGAGGAATACATTTTTAGGTCGCGACAGGGGGAAATTTCCCCCCTGAAAAATGGAGCTTTCTCGAACGTGCATTCTCTCTCTCTCTCCCTTTCTCACTCCCGTTCGTAGGTGCGGAAATGGTGGAATTATATGGAGCACCTTGAAGAGGCTCGGACCCTCAAGAGTGTCGTGAAGAAGTTACTGCCGGACATACGTCTTTCTCTCGCTCTCTTTCTCTCTTTCTGGCTCTCCTCCACCTCTCCTTCTTCCCTCTCTCTCTTTGACCAGTGTCCACCGAATGCCAATGTGTTTAAAGCCGAGCTCACACGAGCAAAAGACGTGAACTTGGCAAAATGGAACTTAATACATTGCACTTTGAGAAATTCGCCAAGTCTAATCTTTATTAATAAAATTATACAATTGCATTCGCTCGCACCGCCTTCTTTCTGCCCTCGTATAGCATCTGTACTTGCATACTTGCATTTGCACTTGCGTACTTGCATTTGCACTTGCATACTTGCATTTGCATTTATACTTGCATTTGCACTTGCATACTTGCATTTGCACTTGCATACTTGCATTTATACTTGCATACTTACATTTGCACTTGCATACTTGCATTTATACTTGCATACTTACATTTGCACTTGCACACTTGCATTTGCACTTGCATACTTGCATTTATACTTGCATTCACTGGCGAAAAGGGCGCAATTCCCGGCGAAATGAGATCGTAATCATGAAATAATGATGAACTCGTTGCCGGCCGCTTCTCGTACACGTCACGTGCGAGAGTACTCGCAAGTACACGCGAGGTACACGCACCGATAGGGCGAAAGAGAGAAAGAGATAGGGCACATGCACGAGGCACGAAAATGCCGCGACCTTTTATGAACAGGAGAAAGATGACGAGAACGAGGCACGCGAGCCTGTCAGTAAAATCGGATCGGATTAATAAGTGAAACACCGGGCCGTCAGTTATCAGTCGAGCGAGTCGATTCGGCCGAGTGATAACGTCGATCGACTCCGCGTCATCGATTATTCCTCCTCGAAAATTGACTCCACCTCTTTTTCGACACGACCGGAAGAAGCCTGGGCCCTAAAAGCTCGTAATAAAAAGAAAAACGGAGAATAAGAAATATAAAGTACTATAAAAGTCGCTTATCAGGATATCGATAAGGATAAGGAAAAAAAAAAAAGGAGCAAATCCCTCTCCATGGTTTATCTTAAATAAGAGCTAGAGGTGACGGAAATTGTGGGATATCATTTCTTTAGTGATTCTTCCCGAAGGGGGGAGAAGAGGGGGGTTAGGGTTGTCGTATCGGGCGAGTCTTATCAGTCGTCTTTTCCCCCGTCCCGAATATCGCCGCTCCGATGGGATTTTAATATTTAACCCGCGGAAAGGGTAATAATGACGAGTCGGAGTAATGGCCGGGGTGGTTCCAGGGGGCTTGAAAAATTAATCTCGGTCTTATTCGCCCGTGTGGACGCGGCCTTATCGGCGCTCGTACGATATTATAATCATGTATATCGATAGGGTGTATACGTAACATACGTGTCTTCCCTCGACCGGGCCGCTGCACAACCATGAATGCGAAATGCGCCTTTTGAATCTAGTTTGCGTGGCCGAGGCCGGTCTGGCATCAATTTTTAAGGGCCACCCCATATGCAGTCGAATCGCTGATATGGAAACCACGTACCATATACGAGGCTGATATACGCGATAAGAATCATCGACGGACACCTCGGAAATCGAGATGGTAATAATACGGGAAATCTGAGAGCCCGGTAAATCCTGAAATGCAACTGCGACGATACCTGATATCTGCGGAAAAAAAAAAATTTTCGGATAAGTGATAAGGAGATGCTGGAATTTTCCGAAGAAAATCCGGATTTTCGGGGTATAATGAAAGAGTTGATAATGGCGGCCGTTATCATGAAATCAACCCTTTCTTCAACCCCTCATCCCCTCTTGATCTTCGGTCACCATGGCGACCGCCTTGTCCACCCTCTCCTACCCCTCCAAACGTCCTTATCAGAACTCCCCCGCGAAAGGGTTGGATCGCTGAGAGAGACCCTCCCATTTTCCTTAAAAGAAAAATTCTAAAAATTATTCAGAGCAAACGAATGGACAGCCAGATATTTTCTGAATTTTCTTGAAAGCCATTTCGATTTAATTTTCGTCTTTTTCAGGTTTTTGGAACGTCTGGGCCGATAATTGGGGGTGCCGGCTCGTTCCGGCCGATTTAGCCCGATCGGGCGGGAGGGGGAGGGAAAATCGGAGATCGATCGATCATTAGCGACGTATTAATCGTCCTCGAGCGGCGCTAATCCTTCGAGAACTGATGGAT